GCCGTTTGGAACAGTTTAATCAGCTGCAACTCTCCACGTCGCTTCACCTCGAATCCCTTCAACTCCGCTAACGACCCATCAAAATTGAAAACTGCATAACGTTTCTTTAACTTCTTCCCTTCTTCTTTGGCAGCCGGCAGAATCATAGCCAAGTAAGGTCCATCCACTTCGAAAGCAATGGAATTCTCCGTACGTTTAGAATAAATTAGATGGGCCGGATCAGTCAGCTCCTGATACTGCGGGTTGGAAAACTCATCTCGCACCATCATATTCAGCATGACACCAGGGTAGTTTATCGTGGCGCCTTTTGGCATGCCCTCCACTTCCAGCTTAAAGGTTTCCGGAAACGACTTGGGAATGGCACACCAAATCCCGTCGGTGTCCAGTTCCAAGGGCCGACCAATTTGTTCCACAATCTGACGCGCGCGTTTGATAATTGATCCACCCGTGTGACACACAATACCAGCCATCTCCATACTGTACCAGCGAGCACTAAACACAAGGGCAAGTTTATAACAAAAGTGACACAACCATGCTTGCCGCACACAGGCACACTCAATACCGCTAACGTAGCAAGAGAACGCCACAATCTACTTCATAGAGCTACTAGTTCAATTTTTACCCGCGCCGCATGACGTAGCCGTAAAAGGAATTCAGGATACATTTGTGTGCAAGCTGCAGGGAATCATAAACCACTTCCATGGCTCGAGCCTTCTTTTCCCTTTCGGAATTTCCGGCTCGTTGTGCTTCAAGTACGTCTTGTTTGGCTTTCTAAAATTGAATTTCGAATTACACTAGGATTAACCAGTACATCTGTATTCCGAGTCTGATAACCTTTTTTGAGATAACGTTAATAATTTAGTGAATTACCTTGAGGTTGTCCTTATGCTCATACCGTTTGTCACGGAACATACGGACGGTGTCCACATAGAAACTGTTTTCTCGTTGGCACACAACCGATTCCCGCGGCTCCTCCCGGGTAATGTACAACCTTTTGTATGTTTTTCGGCAGTATTCTTGAAATGACAAGGATCAACGCCTTAAACCGTAAAATAATTACGCAAAATAAAATACCTGTGAGGCGTTTCTTTTCGTATGTTGTTTTTTCTTCTCGAGACAGCTGATGGAATGCGCGCGGAGGACGATTTGGGGCAGCTGGAGGAAACTTTTCAGTTTCAAGTTGCTGCTGGATTCTGTGGAATTCACTTCGGGTTGCCGGCACTACAATGTACACAATTCTTCTATTTAATGGTACATCCAGAAAACTAAACGTTCATCAAATTCCATTATCATTTACAAAGTATTCGTATTTCGTACTATGTTCGCCACGCCAAGTCCATTTCATTTTCCTCCGGCAGTCGTTCTTTGGTTGATTGAACTGGCATCCCGCACAAGTGTCGTCGATAACCAGCGCCGAAGGTTGCAAGCGGTTGGTCAGAATAATATTCGGGTACATAGCGGCCACATCCAAATGATACAGTAACGGATGCTCTTGGCGAATTGGATTATCCCGCAGATCAACCAAACGATCACGAATTTGATCGCAGACAGCAGCGAAATTCTTGACCTTAGTTATATCGAGTTTTTCTTCCTCCACGATAGCATGAGTGATTGTTTTCTCCAGGCTATCGATAAGCGTTTGCACTCCCTCGGGGTTCTGTTGATATGAAAAAAGTAAAATGGTAACTATAAACACCTGCATGTAAAGAACAGCAAGCGAACCGTATAAAGAAAATGGATGCGCCAGTTCAGATTGGAGTCTCGATCTTACCAAACGAAATTTCAAAGGCAAATCAGCCCGAAAAATCCCTGCCTCCAGGGCCTCCACGTGACCTCCAACGTACGTTTCCGATTCCACAACATGACCATCCTTAGTCAGTTTATGCAACATAGAGTTGTGTTTACTCGGAAAAATAACGTTTGCTTTGTGTGCTTCAACCATCAGGAGGGTTTCACATAACGTTCCTGAACCTTTCCGCAAAACAGAATCCTGTTCCATGGGAATAATGGTACAGAGTGCAAAGATAAACGGATGCACATATTTCATGTACAGGTAATAAGTGGCAACCGCGTCCGACACGGAGTAATTAGCCAGAATCTGCGGCTGCTCCCGAGCCATTTGTACCATCAACTCCGGATCCAGCTCCACGGGATTATATTTCAGTTTAGCTTTACAGACAGCTTTCAAATTTTGGCTGCCGACGGGTAGGTAACTATCACGTTTCACCCATTTGAAACAATCCATATGGACAGCGGAGTGGGAAAGGAAATCTTCCCCGGTTCTGGCGAAACCCAGTTGATCATACAAGCTGATACCGTTCGCCCGCGCTCGTGCTTCGATAAATGGCCTGCAATTATTACAGAACGTTTGGAATTTGCAGCATTTTGGGTATTAAATACGCAAAATAATTTTTACCAATCGAAAAAATCACCGTTGTACGTTGTGAAAATGACCGGCTGAGTCTTTAGAAGGTGGCCAAAGAATCTTGACAATAAATGAGATTCATCAGGCTCGTTGAAAATGGAGAAAATACCCTCGAATTCTGGCTTTGGAGTATACTCGAACGAACTGATATCATCGGACACGATTTCCCGGTTTACAATCAAAAATCCCTAAACAACACACACTGCAACGCATATAATTTGCACGATGGTACAAGCCAGCTACCTGTCCGTTAATCATATATGAAATCATCATGATTTTGTCTTTTAATGGATCGGGAAACTTCAAGGGTTCTTTTGTGGTTTCAATGTCGTAGGCACACACCACAACATCCTAGAAGCGTAATCAAACTGTAACGTCAAAACTGGCCAAAAATCGTAAACATAACACGCACTGGAGGCTCCTGAATGTCATCTCGGAACTCCATTACAGGCGGTACACAAGGTCCAGCCTGCGGGGTCACGCCATACCACAAGCCACAGAATATCTGCTTATCAATGGCCACACGGACATGGAACGGTACATCAAACTCCCTGCACAGTTGATTTTATGTAGTTAGTTATAAGTCATGGTATATTCCATGTCATCCAAATTAACAAAATATTAAAGTGGCATATTAGACCAGTTTACTAGTTACATAAAAGTAATACCGGATATCGATTATATTTTCGATAGGGTCACTTCGGGAATCCTGTACATAATCCAAATCCAAACCACCCAGAAAATTTAAATTGGCCTCTCCGTACGTATTTGTGCTAGCATTATGGCGATTGCGATTTCTTGTAATTTTCGGCATCAGCTCCTTGCGAACTTTCATCAAATCACTGACATTAAGGAACGAAAGTTTGATGTATTTTTGCTGGAGACCGCTAAGGTGATTCAACTGGAAGGCAAACACAAAGACTGCTGAAGATTCGACACCCACGAACAGTCACATAACAAAACTACTACTGCATGTAAAAAGTTAAATTGTAGCGTAATTCAAGCGAGCACAATTAAAGTATCGAAGGTATTCCAAGTTTGTTACTTGTTGGCTGAAAAGCATGAAATTTTCAAATTTCAGCATTCGCAGATGAGGCTTTTTAGTATTTAGCTTTTAAAAAGCGGACTACCAATATTCTCGACATTTTGGCGTTTTGAAAAATGAAAAATAATTTGTTCTGAGGCATGCCCGTAAAAGTCTTCTGTGCGACCTACCAATTCGAGATCCTCCTTTTTCACCACATCAACCGATGTTATCAAATGACTGAACTTTCGCTGCAGATACGTGCATGTTTCCACTTCACAATCCCTTTTTGTCTTGATAAAAAAGTATGGATGGTACGGCATGCCAACCTTCAAAAAAACAGCAAATACGTTATTCTCTACATATTACTGCAGTTATTATGTCGTCCAAACTCCTAAATCATTCTAAAAATATTTTAACTGCATGCATTTAGAGACATTGTCGGTTATCCCAGCCGCAAATCAGCAGTGCATTTATACTGCACTAAAATCAGCTGCATGCTCACCTTGAAACGCTCGTTCAGCTCGTCAACGAAGAAGTAATCCACGACAGCAGTCAGCTTTTTGGTTTCCTCATTTAATACTTCGTTCTGGCAGAAAACCAGGTAATTAGACGGCACAAAGCAACCGATTAATACTGCGCTTACGGAATGCATGTTGAGGAGATATCCAGTTCGCACTTCTGGTTCTCTGTAGCGCTCAAAACCAAATTTTGCGTCCAGTTCATCTTGCTTCAGAGCACGAGCAAGACGATGGTCGTCACTGTCACCAGCAAAATCACTGGCTCTAAAAACCAAGGACAAACTGATAACGCCGTTCAGTTCATTTTACTGCTCATTGGAATGATCGGCATTCTGATGTAAATATCAAATATGGTCTAAAAAATGTGCCACCGTAACTTCGGATACGACCAAGCATTCAAGTGATTCATTTCAGCTCACTTCAAAACGGAGGGTTCTTCTGGAAGATCCACAAACTCCTGCTCGACATCCTCATCATGAGCGTCCTCGTTATCGCTGTCCCGTTCATCCATTGTATATTACACCACAAGGAGAAAATGCTGTACAAGATGCTTGTTGATAGTGGTGTCCAGTGAATCTGCTCCACTGTTTTGCAGTCAAAGCATAATTTCAAAACGGGCAGGAGTCAGGACCCATCATAATAATAGCTACCATTCACTGTGATTCACAATAAATTCCAGGATCCCTAATACGTTCGACCAAAAACCCTCCGTATAAAGGAGAAAGAATGTGTGACAAGTCTTAATATTATTTACTGTATTAACAACACTCCTCAAAACCGCAGGATGCTACAAAGCAACAGGAAGAACTGGAAACAATAATTAAAATATAAGTAATAAGAAGTTTTAAAATTGAAAAATATTCGAATACAATAAAACCATCGCGCTCCTGTATGTTGGGCGGGATGTTTATTTATTGAAAGCAATTCGGCCGAAAATAACTCGAAGAGAAATCGTACGGGAACCGATTGCCCCGAACTGCTTTACACAAGGACCTGCATAATTGCATTGCACATACGCTTTAATACCGCTTCCGCAGTGTGGCTTCTACTTTTGCTGCTGAATCAGAATTTTTTGAAAGCTCATAATAAGTCAAAAGTTTCGCACTTAAGTACAAAAAACATCCCATTTTCTGCGAGTTCGTTGGATTTTGAATTCTGATTTTGTTCAACGATTCAGACGCCATGGGAGACCCAAATGTCACCCGGGACGCTGCCAATTTTGCCATCGTTGTACTGATTAACCAGCCGATTGCATATCACGGCCCTCAATTTGTGCCTGGCCTTTCTCATGTGATATCTCAGCGAGTTGAAATGACTGCCGGGCAGTTTTTAACCGGAATGGGTGAACTCTGGCGCCTGTCGTCTTTCGTCGACGTAAACTCGGGCATAACGATTGTCAACGGACGTTACCTGCGAGTGGACGGTGGAGAATCTGAAAGATTTGGAAGTGGTAACAATTTATACATCCTGCAGCGAGATAAGGTTTTCTTGGTCGGAAAACGTGGAATGCTTCCGGGATTCGACTCACTGAAAACGTAAGTGTACCGGAAGCTGTTTTGTTGCTAATCTATTGTCCGCGAGCTTGTTAAAAGATGGATTGATCGTCGCATTAAGAGTCAAAATGGGCATGACCCAAAGTCGCCAGGCAATCGACAGATAATCACTATTTCAAAATTGGCTTGTAACGTGGCTGCATGAAAATGTAGTCTTCCTTTCTTTTCATTCTCTTCCTGTCGCCCAACAAGCATTATTACATTTTGTGCGTTAGGGTACAATCTTAAGCTAGCAATTAGCATTTGCTTTTAGCATTTTAGGATTGGGTAAATTCAATGCCGATTCAAGAGATATTTAGACATAACCGCTGAAAAGAAAAACTCTTAATATATCATTAATATCGTTGTTTATAACCGAAAATTATTCGGAAAATAAATTTCAAAAATTCATTTTTAGTTTCCTAATTTATTTTGTTTTAAGATTACGTAATTCAAAAACGGCCCAAAACTGTTTGAATTTCAACCCTCCAATTTACGATCATGAAATCGTATTTTTCTTCGCTTTCTCATGAATTTAGTTTTCTGAATTCTGAATGGAGCGGGCGAGGAATCGTTTGGCAAAGGGAGATTCTAGCAGACGAGGATAAGGGTGCTATGACCCCTCAGAGTGCTCCAGGCGCTGGAAGTGGCGGAAGCGGAGGGGTTAGTAACCGTTATTTGCTTATCTTTGTTAATCTGTTAGTGAATGGGTGTTGTTGGTCGTTCAAAGTGGGAATTTCCTACGTAAAGGTACAGACAGCACATACAACTTATGGTTAGCGCAAAGTTGTTGCTATGGGAATATGCACCACACTACGTCGTGAATTTGTGCTTATTCAAATCCGATGTTGATTAGCGTTCTGGATATACTTACCGCCGTGATGACGACCGGGATCGTGAAGGATTTTGGCGCCCATGGATCGGAATGGGAAAGAAGGCTGAGGGCCTTAGTGTGAGTGATTGCTTATGTATAGCGGGAGCGTAATTTCAACAGTGTTTGTTCGATATTGTAATTCCCTAATTATAATCAGTTGTTCGGAAGTTTTTTATTACTGTAGTATCACCACGCCCGCACCAGTGCTTACCGAACCGACGACTGCGACTACAGCCGTGACCGTGATTATAACTACAATAATACGACGCGCACCAACACTTACGTCCGTAATTATGACGGTGATCTCGGATTAGGCGGACGTCTGGGCACTGACTATCGCGGAGGCTATGGTTACCAGAACACCGGCGAGTACAACGACGGCTATGGCAAATACGACGACAGTTTTCATCGTACGTATCACTAGCTGTACTGATTTTGAAATATGGAAAATGAAAATATATTGTTCAGCAACTTCAGCTTTGAATAGGTGGTTTCGAATGTTAAAGCTTTCTGGCGATAATTATAATAATTTTAAACAAAGTCTATTTAAGACTGATAACTTTTCCGGCCACCGTTGGCGTTTACTGATTTTACTAAATTTTTTGTTAAGTACTCGCCCGTAAAATCTGGGCTGGTGGCTGCATTTTTTTTATTTTTTATGACCAAGTTTTGTTTATTGTTTTGAAGGTGACGATCGCGGATGGTCCAGCTCTACTATGACGAACCGCTATGATGGAAACCGCTACACAATTGGAGAGAAAATGATGGATGGTGGCTATTTCAACAGCAGTGCCAACAACTGGGATCGTCCAACGAACGGCGGAGCCGGCATCCGAGATCGTGACAATATTCGCGGTAAGCAGGTTTAGAATGGTATACATCGGAAGATTATTACCAAGGTCAAGCGAATATTATTTTCGTAAATTGTAAGTAGCTAACTGTACTACGAAAGGCGTCGGGATCAAGATTTTTATTGCTGCCTCTTATTTGCAGGTTATTCTCATATCAACATCAACTGGTAAATTCTCTTTTCCTGTGAATCATCCGGAAGTGTTTGATTTTCTCATGTTTGGTTAATTCGATTTTGCGATAGTCATTTTTTAACTTCTCGTGCATCAGCGTTTGGTAGAAAGCCGAATGGACCGAGTTTATTGACATTTTTTTTCTGGAACTGTTTAGATTTACCCTGTTTATGTCATGGCTTTTTTATGGTATTGTGGCTTACGCTCATCCTAGTTTTTTGCACCCTGTTGTTTCACCTGCCCTGGAATTCTTGCCATAAAATGTGATGAGTGCGTGCACGTGATGCGCTTGCTGCTTTCTGTTTGGTCTGCTGGCTGTTTTGCTGTATCCTTGTTTGTTTCACGTACCCGGTACTAATCGACCGTGCGCGAATATGTACTTGCAGCGCCGTTTTAATTTATAATTCGAGGAAGCGAAATTCTCGTTCGCATATTCATTCTGTTATTTTAAATTTATCACTGATATTTAGGAACAGTCACACATCAGTCCAAAAATTGAGGAAAGTGTGGATATTTGTAGGAAGTGGAGAGTTTTCATATGTATTCCAAATGTTTTCTGTTACGCTCGCGTTGTTTGTACTTTAATTTTTTATGGTGTATTCGTAACTGGGCAGCATCAGCAGTTCTGCAGGTTGTGTATCATGTATTAATGAATTATTAATGAATAAGTTTTTGCTGTGCTGGCACAGGAAACACAGGTGTATTGGATTGGTGATGTATCTGCAGCAGCCTAGCAAATATCTAACTTGGTTAAATCGTCTAACCATGGTCCGCTTACAGGCCGACCGAAAGGTCACGCTGTTGCTGGCGATACGGCAGAAGCAGTCGTTAATAAGGGAACGGCGCTGCATATTCTGACTGCAGAAGTGATCACTTTACTGAATTTCTCCCCTAATTATCGCCTGAATCTAATTCGTTTTCCTGCAAGTTACCATCAAATGTTCAAGAAGCAGCTAACGCTGCGAAAATATGGATGGACCAAGCAGTGGATTTAATTACTACGCTGCCGGAAATTTTGGAAGTATGCGAAATATTTTTTTATTTTAATAACTGAAATCCTGGCTTCTTCCTTATCGTCCACATTTTACAGGTAATTAAGATTGGACAAGATCGTTTCATCCAGCTGACACTGGAGAAGCGTCGCGAAGATTTCGAAGTTTGGCCGAACGCTTGCTGGACGAAAGCAAGAATACGGGCTTCAGGAAATCCGTCAAATTTTTAGCGAGACGTTTCGACCGGGAAAGAAGCTGATGTTTGATGATTATGGATGTGCGAGCTGGGATGACCTTGTTTTCAACTTCAGCGATATTTTCCAGGTATTATATCTATAGCATAATTTTAACTTCTGGCCTGATGAATTAGTTCTTTCTACACATTTTGTAGCACAGAATCAATGGCGTATCAACGAAATGCGCGAAATTGCAGTTTAATAACTGCCTATAAATCTTAGTCAGTGGCCAGTGCGTGTCATCACATTCGGATTGCATATCATAGGTCATGATTTATTTATCCTAAGAATTTTAATGTCACTAACGGATAAATCAAAATAAGCCTAATTTACTAAACGATTATGGAAATTACTACCGGTACTTATTTGTGTACATGGGAAACCCGGCACAGAAGACTCAGACCATAAGGCAAAGTACAGTAAAAAAATCACACCTAAAAAATCAAAAACAGTCAAAAACTTGATCCCTAGGTTCTTGTGCAGCCGAATGGAAACTGGAGTGTGCGCATTAAGCCAGCCCAGCCTATCCCCGTGGATAGCCCGCCTGCTTCTACCGGTCCGTCATCTTCGGCATCCGACGCAGCAGCCAATACTAAGCTAACCAAGAATCAGCGTCGTGCCCAACGAAAACTGGAAAAAAAGGCTGCGGAGGTGGCTGCTGCTGCCAAAACGGATGCTGCACCGGAAGATGACAGCACGGGTGTTAGTGACCAGGAAGCGTCGGCTTCGACGGCATCCAACGTCAAACTCACACACAAACAGGCAAACAAGCTTCGTCAACAACAGTATTTGGAAAGAAAACGAGCTATGGAAGCTGCTACCAAGGAGGGGAAGACGGAAGACGCTGGCACACGTGCCAATGATCAGAAAGCGTCGACTTCGACGGCATCCGACACAGCAGCCGCCAAACTAGCTAAGAAAGAGCGTCGTCGCCAGCGAAAACTGGAGAAAAAAGCGGCGAAGGCCTCTGCTGCCGAAAAGGAAGCTGTATCGGAAGACGCCAGTCCGGTTGTCAGTGACCGAGAAGCGTCGACGGCGGAAGTGCCTGTTGCTGTTCCGGCTCGTCCAGTGGTCGTCTCCACGCGGTTGGCTATGAATTTTGGATAGATCATACATCCGGTATCGCATAATTATGGTTATTATGTATTTGTATCCCTCTTTATTGCAGTTATCATATTTTGGTGGATTTGAACTGATTAATTTTTTTCATAATTTTCCATGAACTTTTAGGCTCTCTTTCTTCTACGTGAAAGTGGCAGTATCTGACACTAATTATAGTACCATCCACTGTACCAGCCCTTTTTTAATGTTTTATGGTTGTAGATTGTAATGGTTTTATTGGGAAGGGTCTTCCGTAATAATTGTCACGCATTTTTTTCGGCTAGTAATTGTGCTTCCTCCATGGTTTTTTTTTGTGGTTGTATTGTTTCTGTAGTATTCTATTAAATCGATGCATAATTTGTTATGCCATTGTCGGCCAGTTGAAATGTCTACGCCATGTACTGCTTAAAATTTCAAAGTGCGCCAAACACTTGTACTCGTATATATCTGTAGATAATATTACTTATTCGTTTTACAAAATTGGAGAACTCGTACAAATTATAAACCCTGGTCAAAGTATATACCACATACGTATGTGGCACAACCGAATATGCCGATAATGTTATGCCTAACAAAATAACACTTTGCTTAAAATCAATAACGTGACCCAAAGAAACTACTGTATTATCTGAAAACAAAAATTTAAGTACATCGTAGTATCGTAGTTTCAATACTACAAATTAAAACTCTGCGCGCCGCACTTGTTTAATCCAACATGGATATGATCCGTGTGCGGATTTAGCCCGTTGTAGGAGCGGGTTCCCCCTTTCGTCCAGATCTGACGATTAAAAATAATCTCCTGTATCCCATTCTGACAGGCAATGCTTTTCAAATGATTAACAACGGCCATCCATGGATAAGTTACTCAGAAATCCACCGCGCGACCTTCACCGTGCAACGACACCGTGCTGCCTCCACGGACATTCCGGCAGTTAAAGATTTCCGTTCTACCGCTAAATTTATTCTTCAAATACGATGCCAAATTTTTTGCGCCCGGTGTGGCGCCGGAAGTGCACTGTGTGGCGCGGTTGGCATCACATCCACAACCTCCCGAAGCGCTTCCGGTTCCGCTTCCGCTGCTTCCATGAATGACCGCCCATGTATTTGCACCGACGATCCCGTCGGCTTCCTCATGCCGGCGCTGGAAGGCTTTCACTGCGGCTTGTGTACTTTGCCCGAAAATCCCGTCGGCACTGGTTCCCACCTTACGCTGGACCTCCTTGACGCAGTCACCTTTACTACCAACTTGCAGCTTTTGCGAGCATTGTGCTGACAGTACTGCTGCTGGCAGTAAACCTGCGATGAAAAATAAAAGCTTTACGTTCTGAAACATAGTCGAATCATCGAATGGGAATGCAGATAGCGTAATATTTACTAGCAACGACCGCGGCGCTACGCGCCGCGGTATCCACCGAAGGTTGCGGTGCCGCCTTTACACTTGTGTGGTTACAGTCGCGTGGTAACGCTGCGCTGCTAACTTTCGCGCGCTTGCGTTATATCCCTTAGTCTCGCTTGGTTAAGTTACGCCGCTAATTCTCGCTTGCTCTCGTTACGCCGCTCAAACTTTTGTGATCGCGTTACATCGCTTGCTCTATTGTGGTTACGTTACGCCGGTTACAGTGGCAATTCGCATGCGCACGGTACGCCGCCTACTCCCGCTTGGTTACTATACATCGCATCCTCTTCTGTGCTCACCTTATGCCGCTTACTCTCTTGTGGTTACGTTATGCCGCACTACTATAGACGGCTGTATAGGCGCTTTTCCCACGGTGTGACCTCGTGGGAACCGGCTGCCGTGACCTTTGTTCCGACGTAACTGCATACAAGATAGCCGGCATAAATTACGGACTGATATACATAAGAACCTAATAAAGATATTAATTGAAATTATTAGCACATTGTAATAAGCCAAATTAACATTCTTGTTAAGTAAATTATAGTTTATGTTCAAAAAGTTTTACTGTATTCGTGCACGTGCTAACTAGATATTAGCAAATTAAAATCAGTATAGTAAATTTTACTATTATTACACTTATTTCAAAAACAGAAATTTAATTAAATATTATTTCTTTGTAAACAGCGCAATTCCACACAGTTGTCCGCGATGTATGCTGCGCTGACAACGGCTGCACCGGCTAATTAATATGCCGCAATACGGTAAAAATTGTGACATACCATTTGGCCAAGCACGATACAGCTCAGTGCTTCCAGTTGGATTCACTTTTGGCGGTCTCTTTGAAAACTGTTAAATTGTATCAACAAACAGTTACATTAATATTTATCTTCATTGTGATGTCAGGAAAGAGAAGGCGGATGTGTAGCAAGCAACAGGTTAAAACCCACTGCAGGCTTATCAGTTCGTCATTTCAAGAATTGCTACATAGTGCCAGTTTTCAAGTCAGTTATACGAGGAATCGCTGTTCGAAATTATTTTCACTAAGTGGATATCCTTCGAACGTCGGACATTATGGCGGATAGCATTCAAGGTCAGACTAAATTAAATTACCATTATGTAATGTTTATACGAAGTATCATCGAAAGGACTATTGGAAAGTAAAATATTTTTGAATTAAGAAAGATTTCTTCTCTTAAAAATCTGTTCTATTAAAATTCTGAAATTTCGAATTAGGACTACATTAATTTACTGAAAATCTGTATATATATACTGAAAATTCAATTATTATTACTTTTGTAAAATTTTAACAAATGAAACAAGCTGCAACGACTCCCAAATACGTTGTGCCAATCTGATACAACGCCCCCCCCCTTACGTTATGCCAAACCTGGTGCAACCTGGCTGCCGCCGGACAGCGTGAGTGCGGAACCTGCCTGGCCGTGTCGGGGACGTGGATTATGTCACTAATCCATCGGTCTACCGCTGCCGGCATCGCGTATATGCGCCTGGAAAACTGTGCATCGGGTCTTAACGTTACGCAGAAGCAAAACAGCCATGGGTGAAAATACGGCATATTCCGGATGGTGGTGTCAGAGAAATGCGTGAACTCCGCAAGGTCATCAGCAGCCTGTCGTACAGGTTAGTCAGTTACTGTGGCTTATTGAGAAAAATGTTTATTTGTATCAACGATACATATTTCCGGCTGGAAATTTTTCAAAGTCAACGCTACTTGTACAACAAGGTTGTATTCATTACTGCATGTGCGTTGGTTAGTTGTATCTGTACAAATCACGCACACATCTATACAACTAAGGCACTTCTGCAATTCCCGTTGGCTGGCCAGCGCTACTTGTATAGATGTATACGTATTCTGTACACATACAACTATCCAATGCACATGCAATAATAGTGCAGGTGCATGTAAGTATCATTTGCTAATCGGATCGGATATTACAGTTAGAACGACATCCGATGACGGAGCGCATTCTGTTATCAGCCGGTGGTGATTCATGGGTGAGTGCAAATGTGCGAGTCTGTGGTCCAAGCAGCAATAATGCATGACTGCATGCACGTAGTTCAGTTTATCAAAACAAACAAACTGCACGGACCACCGGAAACGAACTCGTATCGCTATCGTAAAACCATATGTTACAAGATGCAGTATTGTCTTCCTGAATAATACAAAATTGTAATTATTTCAAGTACTGTATAATGGTTTCGCAATTATATAAATTATCATGAATTCCTTTCGATTATTTCTTGTTTGAATTTTTGTCTTAGGTCTTGTGATAAACGGTCAGCCATGTGATCCAGAGAAGGTGATCATGCAATGCGCATCTACCCGAAAAGAACGGATCTTCTGTAATGGAAGCGGATGTAGCGGCATTAGTCTGTTGGGCGGGAAGTGTCTGGCTCTGCATCTGGGCAGTATTCTGGCGCAACGGGAAGCGTTTTTGGCCGAGCACATGTTGGTAAGTCTGGCACATTAATTTTTGTTTCCTCAACCCACAAGTTGTATGGCACAGTAATATTTGTGTACGCTTTTAGCGATTGCACTGCGGTTGATCATGATTGAGTGCCATTGTATACTTGGTGCCGGTTTGGTCAAGCACCATTTGTAAGCGCCTGTTCGTTTGTAGGTGAACTATTTATTGAAGTTTGATCTTTTTTTTAATTGAGTGCAACCATGACCGCTATACAGATACAGCGAACTGCAGTTCGTTTGTGATACCTTGCACGGTTGCATACGTAGTTTTCGGTCTTATCAATTTATTGGCAATATATTCGCTGAGTTTAACTCGTGAATGTAATGCATGACGGTTCGTTTTATTTTTTTATTTCTTGTAGAATTTTTTTTGATGTTTTGATTTTTATTCTCTAAAATAGCTCGCATAAATCTTTTTCTGAAATTTTGAAAAATTTCTTTATATAATATTGTAGTTAATGTTTTAAAGTCTAATTTATCGTTGCAACATTTAATTAGATTTTTTCGGGAAGGTCAAAAGGGTTGTTTATAAAATAGCGGTGGAATTGCATAGCAGTCTGTCTGGTCATGACATATTTATATCCACTTCCCGGGTGAAGTAATCAATAAACTGATTTTTCTACCTGCGTTTGCCTGTGATCTTGCTATTTGATCTGCGTGCTTAGTGAGCGTTTCCTTGGCAGAAGCAAGCGCATCAACCTGGAGCTGGACCATGCGTTGTTGATCCGCTTCAGTCCCGACAACAAGTACGTTGGTAAATCACTTTTTTGCCACTAATTGCCTTGAAATTATGTAATTAATTACAGTTGGATTTTTTAATCTGGTACCAGCCTGTTCGCATTATATTAAAGCCATAGACAAAATCAATTAACATTCGAAAAATCTCACTTTAGGTACGTAATGATAACCCTTGATTAACAATTGATTATCGATTTATCGAATATTCTAATTTAACGATCGTCAGTGCTTTGGAAAAATAAGGTGCCGGTCTTTATTGTACAGAGCCGTGATCGGGCGGATGCACAACGCCGATGAGGTGTGCGTGTTCAAGCTGACGACGAACGCCAACGGACAGCGCAACAAGCTCTGCACGACGTTACCAATCAGGTACGGGATTTTTATCCTGTTTTCGCGTCATCTGATTTTTTTTTCATCTAAATTTATCGGTATGTGGTGGGTGATCAGGCGGCACACGCCAACGGCGAGATCCGCTGCATGGACATCCAGTGCAACGGCAAGTTCATCATGACGGCCCACGACAACGCTGCCATCCACCTCTGGCCCATCAAGGGCGGCGCGCCGCTGGCCTCCATCGTCACCAACCTCGGCGTTCTGCATTCCGCGCAGATCTCGCCCTGTGGTCGCTTCATTGCCGCATCCGGTAATTTCATTTTATATTTGCATATATTAAGATCGTGTTGTATATTTTGTGGTACCGTCGTTAGTCCGTGATTTGTTTGAAATTTTTTTATTATAGATGTTTCTGAATTTTGTTTTTATCAATTTTGCTGTATAGCAGCCGTATCTCAGTTACTGGTTATTTATGTACACGTTTGATGGATGTACACGTATGTTTGATTACACGTATGTACACGTATATTTGATTAGACAGACATCAGTGTTTCGGTTACAGATTCGTTCAGGCTTCACGCCGGAAGTGCGGGCGTGGGCGATCGTGGCCGATAAATCCAGCGGCGACGTGTAGGCCGTGGAGAAGGCCTTCGAGCTGACCGGGCACAGCGTAGCCATCCCGGCCTTCGGCCTCTCGGGCGATTCCACCCACATGCTCTCCGTCAGCAAGGACAAGTCCTTCCGCCTCTTTGACGTCAACGTAGACTACAATAAGCGCCAGTCTCCAGCGCCCTGGATCTGACTGACTTCCCACGAACGGAATGCGTCGACACACGTCACCACAACGCACCTTTCTTGGCCCCGCCTCCCCCCCTCCCTGTGACCCACCTCGCCCCCCCCCCTCTTTTTCTGACCCCACCCCCATTGCTTTTCATTTAAATTAACGAAAATATGGAATACTGTAGTTAATGTTAGAAGAGATATCGGTACAACAGGAGGAAGTTAGAAGAGATATCGGTACAATAGGGGAAAATTTTACGCGGTCATTTAGTGTACTTTGTTCTTTGGGTTCTAGGTATCAATGGCGCTAAGCCAGTGGTGGGCGAAGTACTAAATGCGTTGGTAGACGCAGTGGTGGCGGTAAGCATTTGCCTAATTGGTTAGCATCGAATTCATGTAAACCACTTCCGCAATTCCAACCTCCCATTTTCCCGTAATACTGATGGCGCTTTTTAATCTGGTGGTCCATTCCGCAGCATTGTTATTGGGATGCTGGGCCAGCGAAGAATCCGAAACAAGGGTAACATAAAAAGGCTTATCCCGGGCTGCCATCGCTGCACAAGGCTAATTCAGGCTCGTAAAATTTTCCTTGAATTACCTCACCGGCTAGGTCCTCGACCTCGTACACTGGTTCTGGTATGTGCCGTATAACACGCTGCACCTTAAATACTTCACGAGAAAAATTTGCTTCATAGCCTTTCTTAAACACGGACTTGTCTACAGCAATTCGTACGCTATCGCCTACTTTAAACTTTGGTGGATGTTGTGGTGAGTTCAACAGCATAACGCGGTAGAGCGTGTTAAAACTTCAAGAGAATTACTGTCGTCAACGTCCGCCGGTGCTTTTCCGTGAGCCGAAGTGGGTACTTGGTTGATTGCGTTAATAATGTCTTGCAGTACGTCGTAGCATTTATGGCTTTTGCGTACTTCAAAGAGCCGCCATAGGCGATTTTTTATGGTACGAATCGCACGCTCCGCCATAGCGCATTTAATGTCGCTATTTTCTGAAGAAAACATGTGGATTTTGCGTTGTTTTAGTAAGCTTTTCACTTCCGAATTATAAAACTCTTTTCCTACAATGATCAAAGCATTCTGGTTATGTAATAGAATAATGAGTACAAAAAGACACTAGAGTACCTTTGTCGAATTGTATTCTTTCCAAAGCAGGGTAGCCATATCGATCGAGAATCTTTTCAAGCGCTGCTGCCACTTTGATTCCGCTTTTGTTAAGCACCGGTTCGCACGCCATTTTTCGTGAAAAACAATCAATTGCTACAACGATAAACTTGAAATGCTTGTTTTCCTTGCTGTATTTTGAAACATCCATCAGGTCCACCTGAAGCTGGACGCCTTTGTCCAGTACCACGATGGGATTTCTTTGGAATTTGTAACGTCTTGGCTTATGTAGTGTGTAGGCATCCAAGCTTTCCAAAACCTGCTGCGCCTCTTTCCGGCTTGGACGAGGAGGGCTGCAATAACGCTGGAGCCGACATAGACCGCCTAGGCTGGCAACGTGCTGGGGATTGGAATACGTCTGTTGCACCGTCTTTTCGTTCTTTTTCATCCTCTTCGTCTTGACAACAAGATGAAAAACAGTTTAGTCGCATATTTTCTCCAACATGCACCGATATGGGAGCGCAGGGATTCATTTCACCATTGAATCCAACCGCTGCCCACTTGATTTTCCGCTTTTTGTTTTGCGACGTTTCCAGCAGCACCTCGGGGTCGCAGTTCTCGGGGAACCTTGGTATAAAGACGTTTTGTTCGCTTCTTTTTTTCCTTTACCGGTGATACTGTTTGAAAGCTCGGGAACGATGCAAAGTCTACCTTCTGCTTAGGGGCAGGTTCTGGTTGCTGCAACGGTACTTGTGGCGGGGGTACTGCCAAGGTGGGATCAGGACCCGCATTAGGTCGCAAAGCTAAATACCTTTCCAGTGTTTTACTCAGCATATCAGCCTTTTGCCACTGACTTAAATCTTTGCGTTGTAAAATATTTGAAGTAATTGAATCCAGGGACAAAATTTCAAAAGCTTCGGCTGGCTCCCTGATTGAAGAAAAGTCAGGTGGGCTTGGCTGTGGTGAAGTACCGGTTGGCTTAATCATTTCTTTTGGCACAAGATACCGTACTTCCATTCCTAGCTATTGAGTTAAGACGTTGGCAACAACGGAGGCTAAGATAGGTAACACTGCAGCCAAAAATCCTCCCTTTTGCAATAAAATATCTTTTTTAGCTTTCATAGGATGACGGCGTAAAGCAGGAAGCTTTAAGGGTTTACGCCAACGTTTGCACACAGTTAACTGCTGCGGAGTTAGCTGGGCTGTCCCTTTCCCACAGTTTAGCGCAACCTCTGAGAAAGCCTTCAAATGCTTGCGATTGCAAAAACTGATCAGCTGGCGACGCTGTGCTGGCTTGAGTGATCTTAGTGTAATCAATAAAGGTGCTAAAGAATTCACGTTAGCGGACATTTTTGGGCAGTGTGGATTTTGAAGGGTCCAAATATAAACGTTGCACCTCACCTGGTAGGATATGCGACCGCAGTCTTAAATACCCTGGCGAATCCGTTCGCAAGTTGATAACCAGAGGTTGATATGGCTCTTCGGTTGCTTTAGCGTAGGCTGCAGGTAAATATGGAAGTCCCATCTGATTGGATAAAATTTTAACCTGATTCACATCGCGCACATTGCGAAATAACAGAATGTATTGACTGTTTAAATGTATGTCTCTGCTAGATTTTCCTTGCTTAAAAAGATTGTTGACAACGTAAATCACTGTCAAATTTTTATGGTGTATATCTTGGGTAAAAGGTTTACTTCCACTTTTGCTCTCAACAATGCTTGTTGCCAAATCATCTAAAATTAATAATTTAGGCTCGCTCCCAGCGAAAAAGTGATCGTTTTCCAAAATTTCTGTTACACCGTGAGTGAATTCTATTGATGGCACTTTGTTTTGCAATAGTTCGTAATCTTCCTGCCACTCAGTGTAGGCATAAACGATTCGAGCAAATTTAACATCAAACATATCATCGCGATTGATTAGCAGTTTAGTGATGTAACGACTCTTCCCAGCCTGCGAGGCACCAACCACTACGATACCAGCAGGAGTGCGCAAACGAGTTTCAAAATCGACTATGGGAAATGCCATTTGTAAACTGTATTTAAGGAATCGATCACACAGCAGACACAAAACAGTTAAAATGGACGCGGTAGTTGAATTATTCTCTGTAACCACCAACGGGTCCACCTACATTGAACGATTATCCGTTTCTTGTTGCGCTTGTCGACATGTGCAGTCCTATAAACTGCAAATACCTAAATGTCTGCATGCCTGGAATTGGAACGCACCTTTGACACCAGGTGCCCATTATAAATTAAGGCACAGTTGTCCAGAATTACAAGGCACAGTTGTCCAGTGTTTTTGATGACATTGTGGAAACTTTTACGGGACGTTACTGGATCAAAGGCGAATCGCGAACGGAAATTTTGCGCCAGCATTTGCCTCTTGTATACAATTTGGATGACATTGGATGCCCACCCTATGATCACCTTTCCACTAAACCACACGCACTTTTTAACAGAGCTGTGGCTTTCACAGACTGGCTGGTCAAGCATGATAACGAACATAGTAGCGACAGCGAATCTGAACCAGATGCTAGACCTGGATTATATTGATATCATGGATGGCATGGTCGAATACCGTCCACAGAAATTTTCGGGACTCCTAATGCGAAGGTATAAAACTTATCCATCTCACTGCCAGATCTACAGCAATGGTAAAATCACCGTTAATGGCGCAAATACGATACGGAAGGCTCGCAATTTGGCACATCGTTACTGCAAAGCGATCCAGGATCTTGGGTTTAAAGGTGTTACAGTGTCGCAGTTTCAGATTGTGAATATTGTTGCGTCCGTTAATTTACAGCGTAAACTGAACCTTGAAATGCTTTATGAAAAACTGCCGATTTCATACATGAAACTGTATAATCCAGAACGATTCCCAGGTTTAAGCATGCGTGTGGCTTCTTGTACCGCTGTTCTTTTTCACTCTGGTAAAGTCAATTTGCTTGGTGCGAAGACCGAAGCTATGCTTAATGCAGCGGAACAAGAGCTGTTGGAAGTAGTTAATAAATACAATCCTGTTTCCCCTGGTTAAGTAAGATGTATGAAGGCTGTTGTATAAGTAAATAAAGATAGTAAGCGCCGTGGTCGAATGGTAAGGGAACTAAACTGCAGAGAAGCAGTCGAGTTGAAATGTGTAGCGACTGCTTCTCTGCAGTTTAGCTCCCGCGTTCCATTCCCCTAAAGCCCCCTTTTTTGTTATTATAGCCATTCCCGACGGTGCACACTATTTCTTCCAGTAGAAAATTGGATCCGCAGCCGAACGGGTTGGGGCTGAAATATAATAATAATGCAGTTGGGTAGATATAACACACTAACTGCGTTCTTATTATTCAGCCCCCACGTTCAAATCCGCTACTTATTTCTTTTCGTTGTAGAAAAATATATAGACGTGTTTAATTATTTTTTAGGTTAAATAATTTTAATAACATATTAATATATTATGTTTTTATTATATTAATTATAAAAGAAATTTAAAAATATATCCAACGGTGAGTCATTCGCCGAAAGGTCACGCTTTGGCGAAAGGTCATTCTCACGGGTGTGACCGTGGGAAAAGCGCCTATACAGCCGTCTATAGTAGTTGCCGCTTACACTCTTGTGGTTACGTTATGCCGCTTACTCTCTTTTTGATTACGATATGCCGCTTACTCCCTTGTGGGTACGTTACGCCGCTCACTTTCTTGGGGTTACGTTATGCCGCTTACTCTCCTGTGGTTACGATATGCCCCTTACTCTCTTATGGTTACTTTACGCCACTCAATTTTTTGTGGTTACTTTGCGCCTGTGACTTTCTTGTGGGTAAGTTACGGCGCTCACTTCTTACGGTTACGTTATGCCGCTTACTTTCTTGTGGTTACTTTACGAGGCTCAGTTACTTGTGGTTATTTTGCGCCTGTGACTATCTTGTGGTTACTTTCCGCCGTTGACTCGCTTGGCTACGTTACGCCGCTAAATTTATTGTGATTACTTTACGCCGCTCACTCTCTTGTGGTTACTATTCTTCGCCTACTTGCTTTGCCTGCCTTACGCCGCTTGCTCTCTTGTGGTTACTTTGCGCCGCTTTCTCTCTAGTGTTACGTTACGCCGCTCACTCTCTTGTGGTTGCTTTACGCCGCTCACTTTCTTGTGGTTACTTTGCGCCGCTTACTCGTGTGCTTTCGTTACGTCGCTTACTTTGGCATAACTACGTTACGCCGCTCACTCTCTTGTGGTCACGTTACTTTGCTTTCTCTCGTGTGTTCAAGTTACGCCGCTTACTCTTGCACGACTACATTACGCCAAATATCCTTCTTGGGGTTACTTTCTGAGACCCACTCGTGTACCATATGAGACCCACCCTTTATTCACTTAGTACGTTTGTTGAGCAGGTTCACTATGTTTATTCAGTTATTTCAATAAGCGCACCGTGTTTGGTAAGTTATATCCGTTATAGCATTTTTGTCTGGCAAGCTGTTTGGTAAGTTTACTTCGTTTAGTTTAGTAGGTTTAGTTACATGAATGAGTTGGATTAGTAATTTTAATTCGCTTAGTAATTGTATGGAGTAGATTTACTTTGTCTACTCAATTAGTTCAATGGGTTAACGGTGTTGTAAATTACTTAC